AGGATAAAGTGTTAAAGTTTACCTTTTAAAAAATAATTAATTTTCAACAGGGATCTTTGTATAAAGCTATAGATTTAAAAGTGTAATATATATATTTTTTATCGATACACATTTTTTTGGAAAAATGCTCTATTTCTATGTTACAATGCCACCATAAAAACATGATTTTGTATTCGCTCTGTTTACATACAGGTACTCTCTTTATATTCGAAAATTTACCATACATACGCACCATGAACTAAAATGACTCATTGAGTAAGTTACTTGTAGGTATATATTTACTTTTACTTTCTGACTATTTGCCAATGTCTGAGGCAAAATGCATTGTTGCAAAACACAAATGCATTTTAAGCAATACTTATACATGTTCGTACGTACAAGAAGATAGGTGTAATATTATGAAAACTAAGTATGCAATTACTTCTCATTATAATTTTAAGCTGTGTTACAAACACGGTTTGGGTCATTATCGTTACATAGATTAGACAGACACTATTCTTTAGATCACAGCCTCAATCGAGTTTAGTTACAAAAGAAAGATATAACAATTTTGCTTACCTATAATATAATTAAATTTGTGTGTACTTGGATAATGTTACTTGATCTCGTTTAAACTAGAGATGAAAGGGAAAAGAAAGGTTGCAACTTCATAGTTCATAGAAAATAGTTCATAGTATTTTAATTAATATGAGAATTGGGCTATGAATCGCCACAAATTATTGGTAAAAAAAAAGCCTCTTTAACACTGAAGTTTTTTAAAATACGGTTCGTGAAGTAGTTTTTATAAATATTTTAAATATTTTTCGCTACTTTTATATACGAATTCCGAATCTAAATTTAAGCATAGTCAATTAGGCTCTGTTCAAAATTAACCTTTTTACGTACATTGACAATTGTAATTTTTTATAACAAAAAAAAGAAAGTTGATAAACAAATGAAATAGAACAAAAAATACATATAATAAATGAAGTCAACAGACGGCAATTTTATTTACAATTAATATAAATAATAAATAACAATATATACATACAAGAACCAAAATATTTTGCAAACAGACTCTATCGAATTATATTAGATATTATTGCATTTACATTACTCAAAGTAATTCTTAATTTAAAATTATGTATGTTGGAAAATCTAAGGTTATTTTGATTTAAAAATTAAACTACTGTACCGATTTTGATAAGATTTCTATGAGGTCAATTTGTAGGTTTTAAAATTCAAATCAGTTTATAACTAACGGAATTATAAGGTAACAAAAATAAAAAAGATACAACCGAATTGAGAGGGGGGAAAGGGATTGTTAGTAATGAAGATTGAGAATCCCATTGCTAGCAATATACCCAACCAGATCGACCTCCTCGCGGTTCTCCCTGGAAACAATCATGGTTAATTCCTGATGAATTCATCATGATGGACTAACTGGCCTGTTTTCATTCTCATCGATCACCCTTCACTGGTGCTCCGCCAGCATATCCCGTTAGCGCAGGCAGGGTTACCATACCATTTTCACCCATAAAAAAAACCGAATTGAGAACCTATACCTACCTTCTTCTTTTCGAAATTGGTTAAAAACAAGAAATTACAACTTGAGAGAACATTTCAACAAATTAACAACATTATAGTCATTTGGGAATTATTTGTACATGATATGTCGAAATATTTAAGTGAATGTTGAAGGTTAAAACAATTATTTTGTACACTACACAGTGATCTGCATCTTTTCGAAAATAATATTAAATATAGAAATAATTCAATGTCAGTGATTAAATCTGTAAGTAATTTCAGATATTAACTTATAATATCTATCCTAAATTAGCTGGGACTAGCGCAATGAAACACTGAGTGAATGCATGAGTATACTTTATTTGCATTATACAATATATTGAATAAGCAAGACAATTAATAAATGTAACAATACAGTTGTATATATACAAGTACAGTAAGACGGTCTTAATGCTGAAAGCAATCTTTTCTAATCAACTTAAGGGTAACGAACTAATTCTTGTACATTTATATATGCTATGGATTACTTTGTGCAAATAAAATTCCTGGTTCAATTCTCGACCGGAGCAATTTAAGAAATGATCTTTTCTATATAATAATAATTTATTTATTCAAACAACATAAGGCCAATCCTGTTAGTTACAAATTTACTTAGCCTATGTTAGTAAATGAGCGGTCATGACGCTCTTGTATTGATAACCTATCCCACCCATTATTTTAGTATGGGACAGTCTATTTTACCGGCAATTGTCTTCAGGACACTGTTTGAGCTAGCATAATATCTAGTCTGAATGGCCTGAGTAGTCGTCAGCTTGTTTGCCATTCTAATTTGTATAAAAAAAAAAGGTACCCAAGCAATCGACTTTTATACAAAGTCTTCCTCTGGTGAAGTATTGGGAATCTAACAACTCTATAGCTAGTAATATATGATATATGATAGGGTTATCAGGTCGACCCCCACGAAGTTCCCCCTGTAAACCGTCTTTATTAATTCTTTAAGAATTCGTCACTATTGGCCAACTGACCTGTTTCATTCTCACCTATCATCATCATTCATTCTCACTGGTGCCCCTCCAGCGTATACCAATTACGCTGACGGTTACCATTCCATTATCACCTATAAAAAATCATACCCTCTCTATAAGTTAAGCACTAAATAAATATTACATTTTTCTCTGCAATACCGCATTGTCTATACTACCTATAAAACTATAATCTCCATAAAGTCTTACCTAAATCGTACTTAATACCTTCAAAGATCAAATAATAATTGATAAGGTCGTCGTTTGTGAAAAAAAAAAACATAAAAATGTTAAAGAATATTATTTTAATATCCTGACTTTCGTTTTTTTTTAAATATAACACTCTTACCTGCCAGTAATCACAGTATATCTCCTGAAGAACAATTGAACCGTGGGTCAACAAAGAAGTGCCGCTTACATACCGTCACGTAAAGTGTTACTTTTATTTTTATCGGAATGCGGACAGACTAGTGTTCTTTTAAATTTATTTTTAGTTCTATTATGAACACTTTGTAAAATGTCTCAGAGACAATCAAAATTATATAGAACATGTTGTGTATATTTAATTATCATCATCATCATCATCATCATCATCATCATCATCATCATCATCATCATCATTATCATATTGGCTATTGCTGCTGAACATAGACCTCCCACATATACTGCCAAAAGAAACGCTTCTAAGCCACCTGCATCCACACACTAAATAAATAAATATAATAAAGGAACGTCCTTGACCAGCTACCTACCACAGGAACTTACTTATCCTTATTTATTTATTTTATTTAATTGTTCATTAACTGTTTATTGCACCATTTAAAAAATAACATTAAACTCATATTTCATTGAAAAAAAAATGTTTACTGTCATTGATAGAATAGTTTCATAAAAAAAGCTAATAATATCAATTCCTACCTGTATAAAGTTACCGGGAAATATATCTATGTAATATTTGTTTACTTCTAAACGCTTCATTTTACCCTAGATATCGTAGTTGAGGCGATGCAAAGCAAATACGGTACTAGATTCATTAATACACTTTCTCCTTTCAAGTACAGTATACAAATATTATGTCTCACGTTACATAGAAGGCATCTCTTTATATTTGATATGTCAACATCGTTCAAGAACTAAAAATAAGGTGCAAACATCAATGAAATTAATAGATATCTAAAAGCAGATTATACAGAATCTTCAAACTAATAAATCGATTATATTTTCAATGGTTACACCATTTATAACTGATTAGTTTTTATCCGCAGCTTCGTCCACGTGACCAGGATATTGTTACTGATGGAAATAAAAAGCAAAATTAGGTCTCTTTATTCCATACACTACATGTACATATACCAGATTTCATATTGATTGATTAAGCTATTGAAAGGTAACAAACAAACACAGAAATTCACTTTTACATTTATAATATTAGTAAGGATTTCAATTTCAATTAAAAAATGCGTGTGACAGCTATGCGTGCCGCAGTTCATTTGATGAAATTAATTGGGCAAAATATTAAGGCTACAAGTTTATCTCTGACCTCGCATGGAATTTCTATTACATTTACTTTGAATTTAGTAGAAAGATACTCACTAGTATTGATTAGAAACTATGTAAAACAGTGAATAATTTGTCGATAAACAATATTACACCCATTGCGCCTTACAGTGTATAACTTAAAATTACATGTGATTTTGTCCTGTAGGTTTACTATATCAGCCTTTAATTGTCCACTGCCAAAAATAAATCTCCCTCTATTGTGGGATTTCTACAATAGTTGTCACGCTTTGCAAACGGGTTAGCAACCGCAGTAAGGCCTTGGTAATATTTTATAAAGGACGCTGCTGGCCATCCCTCGACCATCAAGGTTTCCTTAGTCGCCTCTTATGACACCCACGGGATAAAAAGAAGTTGCCTATTCTGTACTGGGACCACACAGCAATCCTGTAGATTTAATGTAATCTAAAAATTATTTATGATCTTGTCTATTGGAATTTTAAATCAACAAGACTTTTTTATACTACTACGATAGATTAGACGGAGCGTATGCTTGTATGCCACAAGCATACGCTCCGTCTAATGGTAAACGGAGTTACCGTAGCCTATGGATAGCTGTATCACCAGGGATGTCACGCGCACGTGGCCAACCTTTAAGAAACCTTAATACGCTCTTATTGAAGAACCCCATGTTGCTATAGTTTTGTACTTGTACATTTTCAAAACAATTATTTCTTTATCAAAACTCTAATGAAACTTTAAAAGAATATCTGTACTATTGTCAAAATTAAATTCAATGTAAACTGGTTTTATATTGATTAATATAGAACTGAGCACCTAGAATACATTCCTTTTAATTCTAAAACAGCAAAATATATTGACTAGAATCGTCTATTAGAAAAAACAGTGTTTAGATATTGAATCAATTCAATTGTTTTGTTAACAAAAATTAACAGTTACGTTTCTTTGTTACAGGTCACAGCTTTGGCTGTGCTCAGCCTTACACTCGCCAAAAATTCGACATTGAAAGCAAAACCAAAACGACAATTGGAGAGCATCAGAACACCTCAGAATCTGCAATACTCATTAGTGTTACCCCATTCAAGAGTCACGCACTTCAGGTCACTTTCCAGTAGTCGACGAATCGCCCATGTTCCATCGAAAGGCGGCAAGTTGCCACCGTATGCTGTTCAAATGGAACCGGTAGTCCAGTACTCTCAGAAGGATCCTCTGTATGACCCAAATTTGGAAAACTTAGACGATGCTGGAGTAAATAAAAATGAAATTTATGCTCAACCGAAAATTCTTAATGTACATGATTCTTCGGACAGTTCTTATGGCCAATCTTATGGAGCCCTTCCAACTGCTCCATTGTATAGCCAAGATGCTCATCCTCATTATTATGAAACACCGGAGCCTATAATAGAAATTATCATCAAAGAATCAAATGAATCTCTTCCTGCACCGCCTCCACAAGTAATTCCTAAAAAAAAGAAAGAACCAGTTCAAGTTTTCTACGTCAAATACAGTAAAGATCCTCATTCTAAAGATAAGGTTGTATATGAAAAACCCATTCCTGCAATAACTCCACCAACCAACGATGAAGATGAACACCAAGAAGAATATGTTACAGTTACACCAGAGCCAGCATATGGTCCAACACAAACGACAACTTTAAGAGCGATCATCAAGCCAGAATCAGAGGTTTATCATAGTGACAGTAGTGTTAAAATTACATTTGGAAACGAAGGCCGTCATTACAGTGACAGACGTGAAGCAAATACAGAAAGTCATGAAGCAACTGCGCCAAGACCGGCTATAGCTTTTCCAAACCAACCACCGAGTCATCTGCCTCTTGAACGTTCTGTGTCACCTAACCCTTTAAACTACGAAGGCTCAACAAGACGTTTACCAAGTCATCAAAATCCTCAAACTTACAAGCCTGTTTCACAACACGCTCAAAGTCGCATCCAGTTTCAACCGCAATATTTAACCAATGAACAGCAATTACCCAGACAAAGTCCCTCGACTTCTCCCTTTAGAACTCAATCTCACATCAACCGTCAAAATTCATTTGGTCCTTCACCATCATTAAGCCCACATCCCAGTCCTCATACAAATTTCGCCAACAGTCCAAGCCCAATTCCTCATTTTGGTAACAGTCCTTCCACTGTGGCAGCCCCACTTGGACCTGTTTTTCCTACTTCTTTTCCTAGGCCCAGTAATATTCCTTCATTCCATGTTCGCCCAAGTCCTCCAACGTTCGCTCCTAGACCTCCCTTTAATGGACCACCGAGACCAATTTTCCATAGTGGACCTCAAAGACCGTTCCAGCAACCACATCCTCAATCCAGACCATTCTTTGATGAACCCAAATATTTACAAGAAAATTATCACACTATAACTAGTGATCAAATTGATCCTCCGAAGGAACAATTATTACCTAATAGACAACCTCAAAACTTCAATTTTGTACATTCTAGTCCAAGTCCTACGCCACCACAATTCCAGGAGCATCCCAGCCGACCTCAAATTATTCCACAGACTCAACAATTACCGCAGCAAAGGCCACCACAGCATTTTGTTGATATTCATAACAAACCCACATTTTCCATAACACCAAGTAGATCTCCCTTTTTCAACTTAAAACCATCGCCTCCACAAATAGAAGACAATCGACCACCATTCCAACAGAATAAACATCAGCAACAAGCCCAGCTCCCTCAGCCGCAGCAATTCAGCTTCCACCAAGGCGCTCAATTATCACCACAGTCGACCTCTGGAATTCCTACACATCATCAGCATAGTTTTTCGAGTTCAATTTCTCCTTCCCCATCACCTATACCTCAAAATCAATTTCTGCCACAACCTTCACCTTCGCCTGCTCTATTTAATTTCCATTCGCAACCATCACCGCCACCAGAGCAACATCATTTCCATCAACAAAACTCACCATCTGAAAGACCACAAATCTCTCAATCTCATGGACCCACAGAAAGACCATTCCAGCCACAACAAAATAATTACAGAGACCAATCTAACCTACAACATCAACAAAATATAGAACAGTTTGTGCCCAATGGTGGAGAGCTGGTAGCATCTATTCCTAAATACGAACAACATATTACTGTTAATGGTCCTAATGCACAACCGAACTACAGTGGGTTAAGCGAAACTGTAAAACCTACGCCAACTACAAGCCCAACTGAGCAATATCAACAACATCAACATCAACAACAACAACTGTATGACTCTGAACAAGAACAAGTAAGATTACAATTAGCAGAAAATGTGAAAAAACAACAAGAAGAAATACAACGTCTACAAGCTCAATTATTGTTAGCACAACAACAACAACAGCATCAACAACAACAACAACAGCATCAACAACAACAACAATTACAGCAACAAAGTAAACAATATGAACAAACCTATAAACAAGCTCAAAATGATTATAAACAACAAACAATACAAGTTACTTCACCCAAATCTCAATACGTGCAAGAAAGATCACGGGAACAGTCTAACTATGCATCTAGCACTCAAGCTCCTGCTTATTATCAATCTACGTCTAGAACTGTGGAAATCAAGCCTACTACCCAAAAATATTTGTCATCAACGCGTAATTCGATTAGCACAACACCTGAACCAAAAAAAGAAGAGAAAAAGAAGAAACCACAAATTGAACTTCCCGATGAAGTCCCTGATGATCTGCGTCAACAATTATTGTCATCAGGTATCTTAGATAATGCTGATATTAGTGTTTTGGACTACGACAAAGTAGGCGACACACCATTGGAGTCGTTGCCACCAGATCAATTGGCAAACTTCTTTAGCGCAGGTGGTGCTCAACAAATTGCGGCTAGTGAACACAGACCCGTAATAGTAAAAGCAAATGGTGAAAAAATTGAATCAAGAATCGATGAAGATTCCGAAGATCAAGATATCGCTGCTTCAGAAAATGTAGCAACATACGCTCTCCCACCTCCATCGGAAAAACAAGCTGTGGAAATGAAGGTTGTTCATTTTGATCCAAAAACAGCTGAAGGTCAAAATATCGCAAAGGAATACGTAAAAGAAGATGCCACTCAATTAGATCCTGTTGCTTTGAATGATAAAAAATACAACAGGTACTTACCATTAAAAGTAAGTGGCAACCAGTTTCCTCTGCCAGACATTCTAAAAGGAAGAAAAATAACATCAGTTGTTGTTTTGGCGCCTGTGAAAACAGAGGATTTAAGTGGTGACCACACAAGATCTGAGCGGGCTGCGAGTAATGCTTTAAGAGGGATAAAGTTTGTTGCTGGGGACAGTTTGCAAGATTTACTCAAACGACCTACCAAAGACAACTTTGAAAAATGGTTGGATGTCGAGAAAAGAACAAGTACAGACCAACAGTCTGTCATCCTACTTGTGACTGGGTAATATTTTAGTTTTATATTTTATATATTTAGTTTTACTTAAAATCGAGCAATCATATCACTCTCTATAATAATACAATATGACATCACTAAATTATAGTCCACATTTTTTGTGTCGTTTCTTTTCTTTTCGCATTGATTCACTTATTATTATCATTCCTAATACATCTCCATGTGCTAACACTGTAAGAATACAAATGTGATCCACAGGACATCATAAAAACCAAATCGTCTAGCCAGCATAGTAATAGTAGGCTAATAAGGTATAATAGTCTGTTATGAAAGAGACGCCAATAGATTATTATTGTTGTTTCCTGATTCACCTATTTGTTTTTACTTTACCTACTTGTCGAAGAAAGGAGGACAACATTTTTCAAATATTTATGTATGCATTTTCTGACATTTTACGTAAGTGTAACAGTGGGTATAGAGAGTGAAAGAAAAAAAAAAAAACAGTTTACTAGCACAATAAAACGAACATTTTTTTTTTATTTATAAGTTTTAATGCACTCGTGAAAAAATATACAGCGAAATGGTCTTGATCTACTTTGCAAGAGTGCGCTTACCTTTTCTGGGTTTTGACACTTTATAAAGGCCACAACACTTTTGAATATTTAGAAAAATCCATTACCCAGTTTAAATAACAACGCTCACTGACTACTTTCCGTATTTATAAATTATATAAAAGTAACAAACCTTGTTCCACTAATGTATATATCTAATCAATTCTATTATTTATTACAGGAATGACAAAACACCCGAGGGGAGGGAAATCTTCATGTACGATATATCGTCGGGCAGTGTCAACAAATTGAACGGAGACCTTTCCAATGCTTTTGTGGAGGCCGCAGAAAATAACTCAATTAGTAGAGACATCGAAAAACTAGCTATAGAAGGGGATGGCACCCCTGAGGATTTCAGAAAGGGAGACGACGAAGTTGCTGCCGGTTCAGAGAATGTGCCATTATTAGTAGATTTATCTGGTGTGAGTTTAGATCAAGGCAATAGTAACCAAGTGTCAATTTCATCAGGTTACAGTAAAACAAAACACGGCCGATCGATACGAAGACATTGACACGTCCAACGCCGTATGGCGAACGACCCTTGTAAATAATATAGTATAGTTTTAGTATTACTAAATTAAAATGGCGGCGTGATGTTGCATAGTCGATTATAAAAGTGATAATCAGGTTGTACAAATAAAGTACCTTTTTATATATTAATGATTTTTATTTTTTGTCTACCAGTAAATGTACGATGCCTTTAAAGACCGAATGTATGTAAATGAAACGAGTGATGTAGATATTATTGGTGTACTAATTAAAGGATATTTTTATACTAAAGCGGTACTTTCTGTCTAATAATATGAGATCTAATAATATCTACAGATCAACTGCCAAACAGGTATGCTTGCATGACTGTGATATAGTTTAAAACCACTCTCAAAAATAAAATACATAACACCTTAGCTTTGGAAAATGGCAACTCATGTGGGTTACTACGATTGATACAATAGACCCGTGAAGCTGTTTACTATACGTGATAAATATAACTTTCCATTAGCTTTTATCATTCTAATTAGCATAAAAAGAAGTTAGACAAAATAACTATTAGTATAAAAGAGTCCATAAAAAGCTGTGTAAGATAACTTCCAGACCAAGAAGGATATCCCTACACTTCTTAGACCTGAAATTATGCTCACTTAAATTAAAAATCAATGAAAGCAGATTATATAGATGGTAAGTATATGGAAGATGTCTAAATTCAATACAGACAAAGAAACGAACAATTTATTCATAGAGAATGGACAATGAATAGCTGAATAATGAGAATTCAAAGTATTGAAAATCGAAAATCGACGGTATTCATAAGTAAATATTTTTTGTAAATTTTATACACAAAATACAAAATATGTAAATAATAATATAGGTATAAAAATATGTAAGTAACTTAATTACGCATGGTGTAGAAAGTATGGATCGAACTCTGCTCAATATAATTTTTCTTCAAACACTGATGTACATACCCAACATTTAAAATTGTGATGATTTATGTTTTAATTGACTACTAGTTTTTTAAAGTATATACGATATAAGGAAGCTATTTATTTTTCGATAATTATTATTTAATCTTAAATTATACATACCGATCAATCTTAGATAGTACCTATATATTTGAATAAGCAATAGAGCAATCTAGTCAATTTGCATTCGACTAGTAGTGTCCTCTAGTAATACAGATTCGCACTTTTGCACCATAAAAAAAATTACCATAGATAAAGATATCTATATGTCATACAAAGTTATAAAATAAAGTGTGAAAAAGCATATAATAACTAATGAAAACAACTCCCTTTCTATTCTATAAATATCAATAGAACCTTTCATAAAATAAATTTCATGATCGTGTACAGCTTCAAATTAGCAAATCGAATCTCTTTTCGATCATACTCGATGTAACAAATAAAAATATTCGAATATTTTTTTAAACTAGCAACACATTCGAAGACGAATATCTAATGTCAAATGTCAAACATATGGATTATTTATTGAAACTGGTTCTTGCCGCAGTGTTATAATTCACTATTTTTATTTTTGATGACTTTTAATATTTGTATTTGAGTTTTAATCATGATGGAGGGTTCTCTGAGTAAATGGACAAATGTGATGAAGGGCTGGCAATATCGATGGTTCGTGTTAGACGAAAACGCGGGCCTGCTCTCATATTACACGGTAAGTGACGTTTCCACTTGCCTTATTTTATTACTCTTGCAAAAACAGTGATATCTTCGCGATTCCTCATAAATTTGTTCCTTTATTTTCAACAATTTTTATATTCCTGTAAACACAGTTTGAGACTATGACATAGTTTATTTAGGTTACTTTAATTTTTTTATGTTTGTTTAACATACCTGTTTATGTTAAAATATTGCCTCTGCTCTCTTTTAGAATTAAAAAAGTTTTATTATTTATGAATTGGCGTTATTCTTAAATAACTACAGACCATAAAATTAATCTATATTATTGTAAAATATCTAAATAATTTAAAAGAATGGGCTTAATAACTATCTTCAAAATAACACTGAACAAGGTCATAACTCTAGTAAACAATGACTCTTAAACAATAATTAACATAGGTTTTTAAATTCAAACACTAACAATGTGTTAATTCATTATAGTATTACAATTGTTACTAATCATTTATTTATTATATAAGAAATATTTTTAAAGTAGGATTCTAATTAGATATTATAATCAAATTATCAGTTTAATGTGTGTCACATTTGCTATCAGTAAAATGTTTAACAATGTAATTTAGGAATGTGTGAGATCACTTATTATCTCTGTCATTGATAAAAAAATCCCAAGAAGCCCAATTAGACAAATGGGCACTTAAAACAGAGTAAATTTAAACCAATGCTCTTTTTTTCTATTTAATAAGTGAACTATATAGCCAAATATGCTAAAATATTCTTAGATATTTAAAAAAAATATATAAATTTATTGAATTAATCAAAATATCATGTTTTGAGTGTTAAATTTCAATCATGCCCTATGTTATGACAAGTAGATAAAAAGGTAACCATCGATTGACTTATTGCTAAATAGTGATCTCTTCCAGGCAACCATAGGATGGAGAGGAATAATTATATTTTTATTTTAAATTTCAATTGTTTCAAATTTATTTTACTTTTTAGTAGAAATATAATCTGGAAATTTAATCTTGTATTTCATATATCTACTTACTGAACAGGTAAATGTAGGTTTACCATCTACCAGCTCTATTATTTCTTATTAGAAAAACCATCCTATTTGTCCAATTGAAGCAAAACATTATATATTTATAACATTTCATGAAAATGATTTGAATGGTTTCAGAGAACATTAACAAGAGTAATATAGTATGGTGAATATAATATAGTGTGTTTATATTATTAGATTAAGTTAAATCATAAACATATTTTCTAAATATTATATTTATTAATCTACAATAATATATCTTTATACAATTGACAGTATGTAATAAGTAATGTACTCTAAATTGTAATATTATTAAAAATATACATACAAAAAAAGTAGCAGTAATCAATTGGATTTAACACCATTTCCATTCTGATTAAATTTTGTTTTAGTTGTATAATTATTCATATAAAAATTATAGAACATATAATAAACGAATACAACATTTACAATATAAAATACACCGACACCAAGCGGGGCTGGACAGCTCGGTAGAAATATTTGCAATGAGAAAACCAAGATCACAGTGAATTGAATCTGTAAAATGGATGTACAGTTATATCTTAAAAACTATAGAAACTTGAATTATAATGAAATTGTATTGACATCTTTATTTAAGAAAAAAAAAAAAAACAGTAACATTAGAAACAAAATGACAAAATTATAATAACATGAACTAGACTCATTTTTCTTTTTTAAAGAAATAAAATACAAACACAAGATATTTCTTAGACACACTTGATTGAAAGTATTTTAAATTTTTAAATGTTACCAGTCTAGAAAATGTATAATTTAGCAATAGATTTTGTTTTTACTATAAAAAACTTTAAATATTTGTTACTAAATTAATATGGTACCAACTTGAAAGTAAACACCATTAATGGAAAAACATAATATTATATACCAGTCCAAGGGAATAGTATCTCAAAATAAAACCCTATACCAAGACTTTTTTTAATGTGACAGGTGAGGATAAAAGCAAAAAATTTTTTTGGCTTTTTGTCACCCTGGTTATATTATAAGTAGATTATGGGTTGTTATATACCTGTGCATATTATATTTACCACACATTTTGATAACCCTTAGAGCAATCTGAACTGCTTGCTCAGGGTTGTGCCCTTAGATATTTATTGCCCAATTTCTTATAACACAAAACTCATAACATTTTATTATTATAATGATTATATCATGCTTACCATCTGAAACATTGTAAGCCATTTCTTGTATTTAGCCAGGAATGCTTTAGTGCTAGGGCTGCCTACAGCTGATAATAAGTAGTAGCTATACATAATAACATGTACAGCGGAATTGAGCATTGGTGAGAATGATGTAATCCCTCCTGAAACAGCACAAATTAATACTGTTATGTATACAAATATAATAAAGGGAGAAGAGTTTGTTTGTTTGAACATCCTAATCCATGGAACTACCAATCACAATGGAAAAATTATTTTTACATTTTATAACTTATTTCTTAAGGAATATTATAGAATATATTATAAAATACTTTATTTGCTGTAAATAGGTGATGACAAAGTTCTTATTGAATAAGTAAACAGTTTTATATTCAGCTAATATTAAGCATGCAAATTATATTTATTTATTATTTTTGAGGAAGCTTATAGCTGTAATACATACATACATATCTGTCACGCCTGTCTCCCATTAGGGTAGGCAGAAACAATGGAATGCCAAATGCTTCGATTCAAACAAATCTCTTTCGCTTCTTCCATATTCATCAATCTTTTCATACACGCTCGCCGGTTACAATTTTTTTTAATTTGGCCCTTCTTCAGCACATCGCCTATTTGGTCGACATACGTCCGTCTAAGGCGGCCCCTACCGACATCTCCATTCATTCTTGCTCGATAAATCTCTTGTGAATGTGAAAGGGACTCCATTTTCCGCACTTAGCCTCTCATTTGGGCCATTGTGCGTGATAAATCTCTTTCGTAATTCTTCTTTCATCCATCCTCTCCAAATGGCCAAAACAACGCAACATTTTTTTGTCACCACATCGTCGTCACATGATGTGGACATACGTCCACACTTCTCTAATCACACTATTCCTTACTCTATCTTTTAATGTAATACCACACATACTTTTCAAAGCTCTCATCTTTACAGCATTTATCTTACTTTCATTCTTCTTCTGCCATACCCACGATTCGCTTCCATACATGAGTGTTGGTGTCAAATGTATCGAGCAAAGCTCGCCTTGCCATAATTCAAGGAGTACATCTATAACAATTAAATATATATAACAACAAAAAGCTAATTAAAAGCTACCACATATAAAGTTTTGTTTAATACGATTATCAATTATTAATTTACAATTCACAATATAGGCAATCCAACATAACGATACCACCACGGACGAAACCGCGAGCCCCAGCTAGTTACTTATAAACCTCAACTAACCTATATATTTTGTCCCAACGCTGGCTAGTGGTTATTTCGAATTTAGAGCACATTGTATTAATAGAGCTTAAATAAATAGTATTAATTTACCGCTAAGCCTTAATAAGGCCATATAACAGGGTATTTTTATAAACCCCATAAATAATAAAATATTTAATCTAATACAATTTATTAACACGCCTTGCCGACCATTTTGGTCATAAAAATACCCGTGACATTTAACTGAAATAAGCCACAGCTCAGTAAATTGGTCCCAGATACTATTTTATGTTGTTTATATGGGTCCTCTAGACCTTATTTATAATTCTCTCGGTCCATTTTCAGTCGATGAGTTTATATAAAAACTAGCTATTTGCCTGCTACTTCTTACGCGTGGTACTTAATGTAAGAAACGCGTGGTTTCAGAAGGAGAAAAACCAATGAAGTGGACTAGTGCTATACGACGTATTAATAAAGACATATATACACTAGGTTTTAAGTTAAACCTTCAGAAATACAACTGTGTAAACCGTTCCCAGTTTGATGCAGTAGTTTTTGCGTGATACCAGAACCAACAACAGACACAGAAAAGGGATTGTTAGTACTGGAAACTAAAGATCTCATTGCTAGCAATATACCTAACCAGGTCGACCTTCACGCGGTTCCCCCCTGGTCTATCCCTATCATGATTAATTCTTCATGATGAATTCATCATGATAAGCTAACTGGCCTGTTTTCATTCTCATCTATCACCCTTCACTGGTGCTCCGCATGCGTATCCCGTTAGCGCGGGCGAGGTTACCAATCCATTTTCATCCAACAAAAAAAAAACAACAGACATACACAAAAAAAAATAAAAAAAAAAATTTCTTATTACCCTCATATAATTTTTTCTTCAATATCTCCTATGTACTACGTACATCTTGTCATATAGGTCCCAGCATGCAATAGGCCACCCTTTCCTTTCTCGTGGGTATCGTGAGAGGCGACTAAGGGAGCTTGTGGTGGAGGGACGGGCAGCAGCGTCCCTCTTAAAACGTCGCTAAAAGCCAAACTGCAGTTGTCGATCAACCTGCCAAGCTTGGCAACTACTAGCAAAACTCCCCTTATGGGCTGTGTGCATCAGTGGACATTTAACGGCTGATAGAATAACTACGGGTATCGTCTAGTTACTATTTTTTTATATTCCATTTCATTTTTATTTTTTTTATAAAATGTTCTTACTAACAAAAAGGGATGTCATGTTTTCAGTGTTCACGTATGCAAGTATTTTTTTTTAATCCATCATAACTTCTAAATGCCTAAACAGACTCGGTTGTACGGGTGTTGACATCCATACATCATCACGAATAACACTGGCTATATTTTTCTATTTGAAGGGAGTTCTTTTTTTGAAAGTCATGTTTTTTTTATTTGCGAACCACAATGTACAATTTTATGCTAAGCAGACAGAATCCATTTGTAAATGAAAATAAAGAAAACGTTTACAATTGTTCCTTATAATAACAAATTCTGTAAATGTTTATATGGAAAACTCTGAAATAATATTGGAGATACTTTGCAAATCATTATTTGGCTTCCCCTGTTCCGATATCTTTAATTAACTCTTATAACTTTTGATCCACTCCGCCGCGTTTAAGAGAGCTCAAATTTTGCAAACAATGAAATTTTCCCTCTTACATCAAACCAAATATTTAATAAATTTATATGTTCGAATAATACTTTACAAACAGACTAGAAAAGTCATGATTTATTAATTTATTTGCACACAGCATATATATCATACCATACTATATCAGTCGGTTAATTGTCCACTGCTAGTCATAGGCCTCTCTATTGGGTTTTGCCAGTAGTTGCCACGCTTGGCAGGTGGGCTGGCAATCGCAATTAGGCCTTAGATATGTTTTAAGAGGGACACTACTGCCTATTCCTCGACTATTAAGTTCCCTCAGTCTATGCCGCGACTATACGGCCGATATTGTTGATTTTTTTTTAATGGGTGATAATGGAATGGTAATTCCGCTTGCGCTGTCGGTATACGCTGGCGGGGCACCAATGAGGGATGATAGGTGACGATGAAAACAGGTCAGTTAGCCCATCGTGACGAATTCCACTAGAATTAACCACGATGGTTTCCGGGGGAACCGCGTGGAGGTCGACCTGACAAGGTATATTGCTAGCAATGGGATTGGTAGTCCGCATTATTAACAATCCCTTCCCCCCGATATTGTTGAATTATCAGTAACATAATTATATTATTCATTATTTAAGTGCGTTTAAGACGCTATCACCTCTTAATATTGTTTTACTAGTTTTTACCGGCGACTTCGCCTGACTCAGATATTTACTATCCGGTGTATAAAGTACCCTATGACCTTCATGTCATATAGTACTTGTGTACCAAATATACTAATTGATGAAACTGTTAAGACGTTAAAAAAGAACAAACAAACTCGCTTTCACATTTATAGGCCTTTCCCATAAGGAGGGTGCCGACCAAGAGTGCCAACTACTGGCAAAACCCCCCTTATGGGGCAATCTATGTTCAACAGTGGACAAATAACGGTTGATACAACAATCCCACTATCAAATAGACTATACTTTTTCTTTCTTTTTATTTAAGAGTTTCGCCTTGTCAGTGCAACAAATTCATGCATTTTCTTCCAGCCAGCTCTATCCCATGCCATATCTTTGACCTTTTATACGACATGATACCTAGTGTTTCCTTTATCTATACTTGGCTTTACTTACATTTCCAAAATTATTTTATTAAGTACTTACTCATCACTAATGCCCCATTTCGAAAGTAATTAGTCTCGTATGACATACTCAAGATCCGAGATCTCTGAAGGCCCGACCCTTTAATATTTCAGCCGCGTACAAAAGACGTTAATTGCAGTTCTATTTTCAGCCACAAAGAGCTTTTGGCTTTGTACATTTTTCTCTTGTATCTTCAGGCATTAAAAATTCGACTAAATTATTTGCAAGCACATTTTCGGCTACAAGAAAAGAGCAGCTTTGATTACGGCAAAACATATCTGTTTGTAAAATATGGTGGTTCTTGTTATTATATATTATTATTTATATTATATTAATTGTAAAATAAAATTGTCGTCTGTTGACTTGATGTATTGTATGTATTTTTTTTTTGTTCTTTTTCTATTGTTTATAAATATTCTTTTTTATAAAAAATTACAATTGTCAATATATAAAAAGGTTAATTTTGAACAATATCGTTGAACGATAAAATTATGACGATTAGACGAATCTAATGTAGATTGGAAATATTTTAATTTAGAACGCGGTAGCGTAAGTCTACAAGTACATTTTGTTTCACTACATGTACTTATCGCTCCGAAAAGAAAAATGGCAGTTTCAGTCGTCATACAATTAATACACGGCAGAAAACTATCATTTTTGTATAAAGTATAGGCCTCCTCCATAAGTAGGGTTTTGCCAGTAATTGGCAAGCGGTTTGGCAACCGCAGTTAGACTTTGGTGTTTTTCCTCTATCATTAAAGTTAGTTCCCTTACGAGAAAGGAAGGTAATAAATACTGAAAATAAAAAAATGCCGCATTACATAATATATAAATTTTTTTATGGGAATGAACGTGGCGGTATGTAAACAGCGTTTTTCCACTGAATATTTGATTTTTATACATTGAAACGTTATCTGAATAGAAGTATGTCATTCTTCAGCGTTTATTTGTTACGTAAATGTACGCTATTCATGTCTCGAGAGGTCTTTTATAACAAACAATAACAGTAAATAGAATTAACAGTATTTTTTATATTAAAAATGATAATAATGACACCAATTCTTAGTATTATTATTTTAAAAAGTATTTTTGTTTGTTACCTCATATCGTCTTAACAGCCGACCAATCATCATGAAAATTACTGTGCATTTAGTATTTAAAATGAAGAAGAACATGTGT